TAGGTGGCAAGAGCTGTTGAAACAACAAAAAAAGAAACAGCAAAAAAAAAACAACAACAAACCAACAAAACAACAAAACACAAAGAATGTATCAGTGATCAGTGACCATTGTCTGCCCTCATCATGTCTCCCACCCCCCACACACACACAGTAGGTGGCAAGCTGATGCCGTCGGCCAAGGAGGCGGAGTCTATGCTGGTCAACGTGTCGGGGAAGCTGCTAATGTTCCAGCGAGACCGCTCGGGGCCGCAGATCAAGGAGGAGAAGAACAAACCGCGGGCTGTGAGTTCTCTCCCTTGTCTCTTGATTCTAATCAAATATCGTGTGTAACAAGACAGTTCTCTTCCTTGTCTCTTGATTCTAATCAAAGATCGTGTGTAACAAGATAGTTCACTTCTCTCCCCTGTCTCTTGATTCTAGTCAAAGATCGTGTATAACAAGACAGTTCTCTCCCCTGTCTCTTGATTCTAGTCAAAGATCGTGTATAACAAGATAGTTCACTTCTCTCTTTGAGCCAATTAAAAAAGTGTCCTCGAAATTCGGTGATGCCCTCTTTCGAAAAAACATGAACTATGCGAACAGAGTTATCCTACTTGTGTGAAAAACAATAAAAGTGAAACTAACAAACCGTGCCTTTCCTTATTCTCCTTCTGGAGAAACAAAAGAGAGAGCTTCAGCACAAAGACTGCAGCATCATCTGAAGCAATACGCCGACTTCCACGGACACTTTTTTGGTCGAATGAACTATCTTGTGTACGATCTTTGTTATAATGATATAATTATACATATTATATCAGTGTATTGTGATGGTAACAGCTAATGTGGGGGTTCAGGGGCGCTGTTATTAGTTATTAGTTGTTACGTCTTTTGTTTTCTTTGGTCTTTTCTGTCTTTTTTTTTTGTTTTTTTAACCTGTACATTCTGTAAACGCTGTCTTATAGAGAGCGGCTGTTGACGGAAAATAGAGCTGGGCGAAGAATCAATTCCGGAACCGATTCCCATGATTAATGCTACGGAGGAAAAGTTCCGACTCCTTTTTATATAAACCAGTAACTTTAATCATTAAAATCTTTTTTTCCCTTTTTTAGAATTTATTTTTGAAAAAAAAAAGTTGATTCTTTGTAATGTTCCGAAATCAAGGTTATCCTAAATCCAGAAGATGTTCGGAGCCAACCAGGTAACCACCAGAAGAAATCACATTATTAGAAAGTAAAGTAATTGGGTTTGGAGTCATATTCCTACGATTCCTAGCTTTCAATAATCGGGAACCTAGCCGCCCAGTACTAACGGAAAACCCGCTCATGTCTTTTTTCCTGGGTTGTGATACTACTAACATGGCTCTTTGTGACTGAAAACCAATCTGTCTTGCCAGTGGTTGGAGGGCGCCACTCGTATGTCCGACTACTTTTCTTTCTCTCTGTTGTTTTTGTCTGCCATACTTTTTCTCAGTACTGAAGGCCTGTATTGTGTCAATTAGCTTCTCTTTACTCAAATAATTAAAAATTTTGTTTCATATGACTCGGTTACAGCCCACCATGTGCTTCTCAGCACTTAACAGTAGTTGTTGTGGCGATGTGGTTTTCTTTATTCAAATAGCTAAAAATAATTCTGTCATGTTTCTTGATTATGGCCAATTATATGTGAGCTGTGCCGACAATATGGGTTACATCTCCTAAGCCGCCAATGGAAAAAATATTGGCCAGAAAACTACAAAGGGGTCACATTTGTAGATTTTTCAGCTGATGCCATTTTCTTCAAATTAAACATGTCTGTTTAAGTTTTTTGTTTCATAATAAAAAAATCGTACAAAGTCAATCTATAAATTTGGAGTAGTATTGTCCATAGGGCTAAAGTCCGTTCTAAGTAACTCGTTTTGTCAGCATGCCACACATTTACGTTTCTCTTGGGCAGTGCCACTGACTGAAGTGTCTTTAGGCCATTTCCAAAGAGGGGATATTAACATGTTTTTATGCTCAGTAAAATTGTAAATGGGCTGATTTATCAATGTCAAGCTCATATTGTACCGGAACAACATAGGGGGAACTGCTGCTTTTTCTTCCCTCATCCTTACTATCGTCCTTTTTCCTCTGCTTCTTTTGTATGTTTGTCACTCTCTTGTGACCCGCTATTTCCGGGGTGCCTTGATAGTCGAAGCAGACTTTCTGCTGTTGAGGCTAGAGAGGTGAGCAGAATAATCCTGATTCCCCATTTGGACTTTTCTGTTGACATCCTCCTGCCCTTGGTGCTCATGTGACCTTTTGCAGTTTCGAGCGCCATAAAAACTCTATTAAAACTAAATAAAAGTATATTTCACTTGACTTGGTTACAGCCAGTCTTACGCCTCTCAGAACTAAACGGTTGTTGTTGTGGCGATGTGCCTTTTCTTTATTCAAATGGCTAAAAATAGTTGTATCATGTGATTTGATTTTACGGCCAATTATCTTATGGTTCTCTCCTCCCTCGTGCGACTCTCAGCTCCCGTTCTGCAACCCGTCTGTGGTAGCGACGTCGGTGGAGAACCTGTGGACCACCACGCGGGCCAACGTAGGCAAGATACAGCTGATGGAAGCCATGTGGCTGGGCTGTGGTTCCCACGGCATGAAGGTTTGTGTGTGTGTGGCTGTGTGTGTGTGTATGTCTGTGTG